AGAGCTTTGAGCTCTGCAAATGCTGCGTCAGCTTCTGGAGTTCACTCGAACTTGTCAGACTTCTTCATCAGTCGGTAAAGAGGCAACGCCTTTTCACCGAGACGAGAAATGAATCGACTTAGAGCGGCCAAGCAGCTTGTGAGCTTTTGGACATCGTGCACGCGTACAGGACGCTTCATCCGGAGTATGGTGCCAACCTTTTCTGGATTGGCATCGATCCCCCGTTCGGAAACGAGAAAACCGAGTAACTTTCCACCTGGAACTCCGAACGTGCACTTTGATGGATTGAGCTTGATATCATACCTCCTGAGGTTGGCAAAAGTTTCAGCAAGGTCAGCCCGTAGGTCGGAACCTTTCCGTGACTTGACCACAATATCATCCATGTATGCCTCCTCATTCCGACTGATTTGAGTGAGTAGACACTTCTAAATCATTCTCATGAACGTAGCTCCGGCATTCTTGAGGCCGAACGGCATGGTGACGTAACAAAAGCATCCGAATGGAGTGATGAAAGCCGTTTTGATCTCGTCGGGTCCATACAGACGGATCTGATGGTACCCTGAATAAGCATCTAGAAAAGACAAACGCTCACATCCCGCGGTCGAGTCCACTATCTGGTCGATGCGGGGGAGAGGGAAATGATCTTTCGGGCAGGCCCGATTGATATGTTTGAAATCAATGCACATGCGAAGTGACTTGTCCTTCTTGGGGACCATGACGACATTGGCGAGCCACTTGGAGTGGTAAATCTCTCGGATGAACTCCGCTGCTAAGAGCCGAGCCACCTCCTCGCCAATGGCTTTCCTCTTCTGGACGGCGGACCGTCGAAGATGTTCTTTCACAAGCTTGAACTTCGGGTCGACTCGTAGACGGTGCTCAGCCAGCCCCCTGGGAATTCCAGGCATGTCAGAAGGCTTCCATGCGAAGACGTTCCAGTTCTCACGAAGGAACTGGATGAGCGCTTCTTCCTATTTGGAGTCGAGCGTCGTCGAGATGTGAGTCGGAGCAGCGTCGGGGTCGGTCGGGTGAATGTGAGCTGTCTTTGTTTCACCGGACGACTGAAAAGCTGACTCTGAAGCAGGCTTCTTGGCCCGTAGCAATTCACTCGGATCGGCAGCCTTTTGGTACTCTTGCAGCTCGACCACTGCCATCTGAGCATCTGCAATCTTTGAGCCTTTCTGAAAGCACTCTTCTGCCTTCTTCCGATTGCCTGTAACAGTAATTACCCCTTTAGGGCCAGGCATCTTCAGTTTGAGGTACACGTAACATGGTTGAGCCATGAAGCGTGCGTAAGCTGGCCTGCCCAAAATGGCATGATAAGCACTTTGGAAGTCCACAACCTCGAATGTCAACTTTTCCTTGCGGTAATTCTTTGAATCACCGAAAACCACATCAAGAGCAATCTGGCCGAGTGATTCGGCTTTCTTACCAGGAATGACTCCGTGGAAGCTCATGTTACTGGTACTCAGTCTGGACATCGGAATGCCCATTCCTTTCAAAGTTTCGGCGTACAGTATGTTCAGGCCACTGCCATCATCCATCAAGACTTTGGTCAGTCGAGTGCCTTCGACAATTGGATCGACCACCAGCGCTTGCCTCCCAGGGGTGGCAATGTGCGTAGGGTGATCAGACTGGTCGAATGTGATGGCAGTCTGAGACCACTTCAGATAACTGGGTGTTGCCGGAGCAACCATATTCACCTCACGGTTGATGACTTTCAGTCAACTTTTGCTTTCGACATCAGCAAAAATCATCAGGGTGGAATTGATTTGGGGGTATCCGTCGTCGCTATCTTCCTTGTCCTCGACTCTGTCTGACTCTTTTTCCTTATCCTTGGACTGTTTGCCTTGAAACTGCTGGATTAGGAGCCGGCACTGTCGAGTGGTATGCTTTGGTAAATAAAATTACCCTCTTCACCTTTCTTGGTGTGGATGTGACACGGTAGGTCCAAAACATCGTTTCCATCCAGATCCTTGACTTTCTTGGGCTTCCAGGTGCCCTTGGGTTTTCCCTTGAAGTTTCCCTGGGCTACGGCCAGGGCCTTCCCAGGAGCGGCTGGCTCGGCCTTCCGCTTTTGTTTCCGACTGGAGTTTTCTCCGGTTTCTTGGGCGACTGCCTTGTGCTTGCCACTCCGGAGTCGGTCCTCGTCTTCACCATTAGCGTACTTGGTGGCAATCTCCATCATCCGATTCAGAGACATCTCTCCAGTTCGACCAAACTTCAGATTCAACTCTCTGTATTTAACGCATTCCTTGAAGGCACAGACTGCTTGATGGTCTGGCACATTCTCAACCGAGTGATGCAGTGTGATCCACCTCTGGATGTATTCCCTCAGGGTTTCATTCGGCTTCTGCACGCAAGACCGCAACTCTGTAAGGCCTGCAGGTCGCTTGCATGTTCCTTCAAAAGTTGTGATAAACACTCGGGAGAGATCCTCCCAAGTGTAAATGCTGCTGGGTGCCAACTGATTTAGCCACGCTCTGGCTGAGCCCTCTAACATAAGAGGTAAATGCTTCATGGCCACCTCATCATTGCCACCGCCAATCTGTACAGCCACTCGGTAATCTTCGAGCCAGGTGTCAAGCTTAGATTCACCGGTGAACTTGCTGATTCCAGTCGCCAGCCTGAAATTGGGAGGAATCACTGCGGCTCTGATGGCTCGACTGAAACACTCTGGCCCTGAAGCATGTACTCTGCTGCTGGCGGGCGCATCTCTGTTCTGGCCTTCCCGATGAGCCCTGTTCCTGTCAACCAAGCCTTGAACGAGGACAGATCTCGCGTCAAAGCCTGGGTCCCTGGGGTCGACGGGAACCCTCTGCCCAACGCTATGAGGGCGCCTGTCATCTCGATGTCGAGGCGCATATGACCCACTCCTCGGGGGAGGGGTTGGCACTCGACGTCGATCATCACGATCGGATCGGTGATCATACTGCTCGTTCCTTCTGTACTGATCATGCCGGTCGCCACGTCCTCCACGCCTCGGGGGCGACCGCGGGCTGTGAGCCGACTGGACTGTATCTGTTGCAACGGATCGACTGTGGATCCTATTCCGCGACTAAGAAACGGCGGAATTCTGGTTTCCCGCCGCCCGGAGCAGCGCTCTGATCTGCAACAAGCCCCTGCCAGCTTCCGACTGGGAGGGCTGAATTGATTCTGCTATACAGGCCGCAGCGGCCAAATTCTGAACTGGGGTTCGATATACCTGCGTCGGCGGGAAGAGCTAGCGTCGACTAGACTCGGGAGCCCGCTGACGCGCTCGCTCGTCGAGTGCTCGCTGGAGATTCTCCAGTCGAGTGCGCTCGGCCAAATTAGCCAAACGCGCGTCCTCCAAGGCCCGGGCCTCGGGGGACTCTCCGACGATAGGGGTGCGGAGGGCGTTCGTGTTCCGGCGGCGAAGCTCCTCTCGCTGTGATAACGTGAGAGGTTCGGGGAGGTACTCATCGTGGAGATGCGACGGGCCGCCCCCACCCGCGCCTCCATCAGCGCGAGGGAAACCGGGAGGACTGTGCGTTCCATCGACCGCCGGGATCTCAGCCACTGGGTCGCTGCTGTCGCACTCGGATGCGGTCTCCGCGGAGCCAGTCGACAGGTCGAACAGGCCGCAGAGGGATTCGTCGGGCTCGATTGCCGCGACTTGCGGGGTGGCCGACTGGCGGGCCACGGCATGCCTCACCCACCTCTGGAGTCTCGACCGACCGGAGCGCTTGCGCCGGTGGGAGACAGAGCGGGGAGACGATACGGGGGCCGACCGATACTGGGTCGACGGCTGCCGCAGGAGGACGCCACGAACGAATGTGCGGAAATGCGTCGCACCGCGGACGGGGAGCGCGTCGACGTCGAGTGGCACCTCTTGAAGCCAGGCGGAGTCGTCGCCGATGAACGTGAGCGCGCCGAGACGGATCTCGCGGCCCTCCACCAAAACTCCGCACGAAACCATGATCAAAGGGATCGGAAAAATCGCAACTTCTCCAATCAGGCGCTGAGATTCCTGCCCCACAGTGGGCGCCAACTGTCGTGGTTCTAACTCTGACAGCAATGTAGGGGGGTATGAATGGAGAGGCTAAATCTCAGCTATTGGGGAGTTGTAAACACACCAAGATGTACGAGTTCAGGCCCTTCGCGGAGGAAGTAACAGCCCTACGTCTCGGTGCCCGGAGGCGGTCGACTGGATTACTGGCGTGTGAATAACAGGGGTGCGAACCCTTCATACTGAGGAGGGGGTGGCTTATATAGAGTTCGCCGGCCCCCTCCTGCCCTCAGTAATGCAGGGTTTAAGGTACATTTAAGGTCGGGCGTTACTAGTAACGCCCCTAATAAAGAGCTATAATGACCATAAAGACTACTTAACAGCTGACCGTTTGCCTGCGGAGCGACTATAGGTCTCCTGGCGGTCGAGTGGTTGGCTTCATGGTCGAGTGATAGCTTCCTGGTCGAGTGTCTTGAGTCCGTCGAGTGGGATACCTTCAAGTCGATTGAAAGGTGACTTCTCCTAGGAATGTCCTAGGGTATGGCTCCTTGGACAGGTCCGTGCCCCTACCCTAGGCACATGTCTTCATCACCTAACGATTGGAAATTCCATAGACTATAGTGCACTAAACTAGACATCAAATAAAAGAAAACACTAAATGAAAAACAGAATAAAGCAAAAAGGTGATACTCGGGAAAACCCATACTGTAAGTAACACATCAGTACATTAGAAGGCAGGCACATCTGTGTGCTAAGGCCCGAGGTGGAAGAGTTTTAAGCTTGGCAGTCTGCGGTGGCATCTTCTTATTCATGTCGCTGCAGTGCTTGTAAAGTTGCTAACTTAGGCTATAATTAGCAATTTAGCATATATGATACAATAGATCAAACAAAGCGTTGTAATAGATACAGAAAACAAATATGTTATGTACTTTTATATTGCCTACATATTTTTTCTTTCAACTTATTATTTCATCCAGCTCTATTCTATGTTGCATCATATGACTTGTTTCACTAACGTTTGGTGTTTCTTCAGATCCCTTTAGGCCTAATAAACGGGAGGGTCACCCACATCATCTGGCCGCCGTCGAAGATGGGCAGAGTGGAGAGAAAATGGCCCGAAGATAGAATCCCGCCGTTTTGATTCGACTCCTCACCGCACGTGATGATGATCCATCCACTTTAGCCTGTTTTGTGGCTACCAGAAGTTTAGCTACCCGTTGTTCAAGTTTTGGTGAGATTTGTTCGGAAATTTCCTTTAGCCCACCATTTTTTGTTGTTGTTGCTTCCTCGTGTAAACAATTTTGTCTTCGAATTGGTCAAATGTAAAACCTCAATCGAGGCCCTTCACACTCAATCATATGTTTTGCAAACAGATACAGCTTGGCAATGAACTTTTGCAACTTGTTGTACTGGACTCAGCAGATGCAGATGGACAGAAAGAAAGAAAAAGACTAAACTAGATTTATTATTACTTCAAATTCTGCAATATGCAGCGTGTATGTAGAGCAACTAAAACCAAAAAGGCCAGCTGAAATCCTAATGCTCTCCAAGTTCCCTACCAACACACTGTAGAGTGCTACCTCCAATGACTAGCACTACTGTAATTCAGCTTCGTAAGGATGCTGAGTCTGTTCTGTAGTAGCAACGACAATATGCTGCTTAAATTTCGCCTTCATGCAATTATGTCAGCAGGTCCGGGAACAGCTTGTAGCCTTCTCCAGCTCCGGCTCCGCCCCGACAGGGATGTTGCAAAATCACTTAAAATTGGGCAATATACCAGAGTGATGCACGCCAATGCCGTGTTCCAGCAAGGGACGCGTATTTGAAACCTGCGGAAGCTTTTGCCATCATCTGAAAGAAAATCCATAGCAGTCCAAAAAAGAAAAGAAAAAATGGTTTGAATGTTCACTTTCTCATCACCCCCCATTCAGGTCCATCTTGGTCATCTAGAGCATAAGCAGGATATTAAAAATCAACCAAGACATGTGCCTCCTTGAGCTACACACACAAAAAAAAAATCATATCCTGTAAAACGACTATCAATCTTCACATTCTCTTTTGCCGAAGCTGAAAAAGAACCATAGGATCATCTTGATGCTAAATTATCAATTTCACCATCTTGAACATGTCACTTTTCCTCATTGGGTTTACCTGCCGAGACGCCTTCTTTCCGCCCATGTCCCCTCTTCTTGTCACTGCCACTAGCAGGAGCAAGGGCAGCCATTTCTGAAAACTGTCCTCTCTGAACTTGCCATTCTCGTCGACTATCAGGTATATATAAAGCCATCGCCTCCAGCAGGGAATACATAGTGCTGCACAGGTGTAGGTTAATACTCGGTGTATACTGTATGGGCAAGGTTGCTTATGTACCTCCAGCAGCAAATACAAAGTGCTGGAGAAGTAGGCTAACACAAATTTTACACGCAGGAAGGGAACTATGTACCAGTACCACAAAATCACGCATTCCTGCAAAATTATAAATTCCACAGCTCCTGGAGCACTGAAGGTCACAGAATTTGATAAACCAATATATTTGTACACCTGAATAAACATGTCTGGATCCAGGTGCCCATCAACCAAAACTCATACACCATGTAGGCTTCTTGCTCAGGAAACTGCATGATCTTACTAAGTATGCATAACTATGAAATAATCAACATCTTTCTGAGCACGCATTAAAGCATCTCACGCGCTTCCAATTTATCCTTAATTTGGCAAGCTCTAGATACAATGAGATAATAAACATGAACAAACAGAACATGTAATCACCATAAGCATCAAGATTCAACCAGTCCAGAACATTAATCCAAAACTGGAGCTGAGAGCGAAACCTCCAGAGCAGCTCACTTACAATCCTCCTGTTCCTGAACTTCTGAAATGTCGACAATCGGCAGACGCTCTTCCTCCGGAACCAAGCACCAGTTTGGTGACTGCACTGCCCTGAGCCATTTGAAGTCATCCACATTGGCCCAGTTACCAGTGTCCTCTGCAAGCCCAGAGTCCCTCAGATCCTCTTCGATCCCTTCATACTTCAGAGCATGTGGTGCAAATCTCACACCGCTGCAGTCCTCAATGATCGGCCTGCTCCTCACCCGCAGGTAGAAATCTGTTTCCCTGGCTTCGTGAATCCTGATCTGATGTGCCGCCATCACAAACGTGCAGCGCTCGACATCCTCTATGAGCACCGAGCCGAAAACCGGGCCGATGAAGACGCGGCAATCTCTTAGCTTGTGAATGTACAGCGCCCGGCATTTCCCCTTGAGGTACACCTCACAGGAAACCAGATCAGCGAGCGTGAAATCCCCATCCTTCTCGTTGGCAGCTCTCAGATCCTTCACCAGGGTAGCGCCATTCCTGCTCCGGAACCCAAACCCTGGCAGGATGGCATCGGGATCAAGCTTTGGCTGCTCCGGAGGCGGCTGGGGCAGGGCAGGAGGATCTGGCAGGGGGCTCTTCGGGGTTTTGCTCTTGTTCCTGAAGGAGAACGACTTCTTGGGCCGGACCTCGGAGGCGGCGAGCTTGTGGGCGGCGCGGAGGTCGGAGACGGCGGCGAGCGCGGACCGGAGCTCGTACGGGGGGAGGGAGTGGGAGGCCTCCGCGACGAGGCGCTCGAGGTCGTCGACGGCGGAGGAGGCCGCGGCGAGGGAGGCGGCGGCGTCGTCCGGGGAGGAGCGGCAGGCGGAGAGGGCGGACTCCGCGGCGGCCTTGGCTGCGGCGAAGCGAGAGAGGAAGGCGGCGACGGGGGACGCCTCGGGGGAGCCCGCGGAGGGGGCGGCGGTGCGCTTGGAGAGGCGCTCGAGCATGGCCAGGTGCTTGCGGTTGCCGGCGGCGGCTTTGGTGCCGTCGAGATCCGGCAGCTCCATCCCGGCCGCAGCAGGAGGCGGCGCTGGAGGCTTGGATCTTACGGCTAGGTTTGGCTGCCTTCGGTGGATGCGGGCATGCGATGCGACTTGGGGGTCTGCAATCAGTAAAACTAGAAGAACGTCCGTGCGTTGCAACGGGCCACATTAACTTTAAAAGTTCAATATTACGACATTGGCGACCTTTTTTACCATTAAATCCTCACACACACAGACACACACTCTCCCTCCGTCTTCCTCACTCTCTATCCCCCTCTCCCTCTCTCTCTAACACACACACATATCCATCTTATTGGGTACGGGACCATAATCCATCTATTTCACACATACACGCTAGTGCATAACAATATGGATTATGTGTATTATATTTGCCACCAGAACTGAGGGAATTAATTTCATGTAAATCGACCAGCCACAGCTCCAAGAATACGCGGACGAGGTGGCTCGGGTCGGCGTCGGCGCCGTCCAGCGCGGGCCACGGGCCCGCTTCCAAGTGCACGTGCAATGCATGTCTTCACAAATATTATAACCAGATGTGAGAAATCACATGCATAGAAAAGACATTCTGATAGCAATCCAAATACCATACTCAATTGAATACCTAACGTGGACAATACTCTTATTTCTATGCGCCAAAAAAACGGAATAGCAAAGCTAAGTATGCCTACATACGCTCAGATTATGTATAAGAATCTTGCGTGAACAATTGCAACAAAGCACTAAGCAGCGATAAATTTAAATAAAAAATCTATTAACTATGCAGGCAACAGGCTTGTTACAACATAGAGAGATAGGAAAATGTCACCTCCAGTAATGTAGCGCAAAGGAGTGGAACGAAGCATGAATGAGCGGTTGTCTGTTCTTCTCCATGTACATGGATCAGCAGTAGAGGCCAAGTATATAAGTACTTGACCGAACTCCACACTCCACTCTTCGTGTACGGAGAGCCATGTCACCTTCTCGCCGCTGCAGCATGGGAGGACGGCTGGTTCACGTGACCCTCCAGCTGGGGGATCCATGATGGCTGACCGTCGAGCTCGAGGCAGAGAAGTTGAGGGCAGTAGTGGCGAGATCCATGCCGGCTAACCGGGCGAAGAGGAGGTCGTCGGGGAGGGACACATCGGCAAGATCCGGTCACCACGCGACCTGAAGAGCAACAGTGATCTCCACAAGCTGTAGGCCGACGGCGTGCTCCATCCCCTGCGATGGGGTGACCATGGCGGTGGCCACAGCTCCTCATGCTCGCCTCGATCTTGGCGACACACCCTGAGTGTAGGAGGCAGCAACGACCTCGACGAAATCATGGCCTCCATCCCGGAACGCAATCATGTCGCTCTAAATAAATGGATTCAATCATGTGACTCTAATTACTTCGGATTGTTATGTGCACACTAAGCGGGGTGCAGTTAGGAAAGAAAATGTTCTCTAATTAAAGTGATTGAGTGATTTAAGGTAAGGTTAATTAATTTAGATTTGATTTTTAGTGATTGTTAGTAAAGTACGACGCGTCTTTAAAATCTTTTATTTGTTTCCTTAAAATATATTATTTGTTTCCTAAAGAAATTTGCAATAATGGAAGATATCGGTTGATTTGGATAAGTTAGTAAATTTAAATCCGTGATTGTGTGCACATTTGGAAAGTGCTGATCTCCACAAGCTGTAGGCCGACGGCGTGCTCCATCCCCTGCGATGAGGTGACCATGGCGGTGGCCACAGCTCCTCATGCTCGCCTCGATCTTGGCGACACACCCTGAGTATAGGAGGCAGCAACAACCTCGACGAAATCATGGCCTCCATCCCGAAACGCAATCATGTCGCTCTAAATAAATGGATTCAATCATGTGACTCTAATTACTTCGGATTGTTATGTGCACACTAAGCGGGGTGCAGTTAGGAAAGAAAATGTTCTCTAATTAAAGTGATTGAGTGATTTAAGGTAAGGTTAATTAATTTAGATTTGATTTTTAGTGATTGTTAGTAAAGTACGATGCGTCTTTAAAATCTTTTATTTGTTTCCTTAAAATATATTATTTGTTTCCTAAAGAAATTTGCAATAATGGAAGATATCGGTTGATTTGGATAAGTTAGTAAATTTAAATCCATGATTGCGTGCACGTTTGGAAAGTGCTGATCTCCACAAGCTGTAGCCCGACGGCGTGCTCCATCCCCTGCGATGAGGTGACCATGGCGGTGGCCACAGCTCCTCATGCTCGCCTCGATCTCGGCGACACACCCTGAGTGTAGGAGGCAGCAACGACCTCGACGAAATCATGGCCTCCATCCCGGAACGCAATCATGTCGCTCTAAATAAATGGATTCAATCATGTGACTCTAATTACTTCGGATTGTTATGTGCACACTAAGCGAGGTGCAGTTAGGAAAGAACATGTTTTCTAATTAAAGTGATTGAGTGATTTAAGGTAAGGTTAATTAATTTAGATTTGATTTTTAGTGATTGTTAGTAAAGTACGATGCGTCTTTAAAATCTTTTATTTGTTTCCTTAAAATATATTATTTGTTTTCTAAAGAAATTTGCAATAATGGAAGATATCGGTTGATTTGGATAAGTTAGTAAATTTAAATCCATGATTGCGTGCACGTTTGGAAAGTGCTGATCTCCACAAGCTGTAGGCCGACGGCGTGCTCCATCCCCTGTGATGAGGTGACCATGGCGGTGGCCACAGCTCCTCATGCTCGCCTCGATCTCGGCGACACACCCTGAGTGTAGGAGGCAGCAACGACCTCGACGAAATCATGGCCTCCATCCCGGAACGCAATCATGTCGCTCTAAATAAATGGATTCAATCATGTGACTCTAATTACTTCGGATTGTTATGTGCACACTAAGCGAGGTGCAGTTAGGAAAGAACATGTTTTCTAATTAAAGTGATTGAGTGATTTAAGGTAAGGTTAATTAATTTAGATTTGATTTTTAGTGATTATTAGTAAAGTATGATGTGTCTTTAAAATCTTTTATTTGTTTCCTTAAAATCTATTATTTGTTTCCTAAAGAAATTTGCAATAATGGAAGGTATCGGTTGATTTGGATAAGTTAGTAAATTTAGATCCATGATTGCGTGCACGTTTGGAAAGTCCTGATTTGCAAGGAAAGAGCTGAGGGGTAAATAAACCGGTGAATAAGAAACCATCATCGAAAAAAATCTACGACGGTTAACCTACGGAAAAAAACCGGACGAAAGTGGTGGGACGAAAAAAAACCTGGAAGCGAGACTACCAACTGCTCCATTAGGAGTAGAGACTAGTGAAAACCAAAAGTTCCAAATATCACTACTGAAAATCAGTGTGTCAAAACAGCACTCATTTTCAATTATTTCCAAAGAAAAAGGACTCATTTCAGTTTTTCCATGCCAAAATACGACTAGAGGCTAACTGATTAACATACTCAAAGAAAGACATATATGCCCTTACATACGATTATTCTGTTTTTTTACATTGTCTGTGCTCTATCATCACCAATTTTGTTTATTTACATTCCAAATGCAACAGTTAGCATCAAATAGGCCGTTTCTTTGTTGTATTTCCTTTTGCTGAAATCACTCTCTTGATTTTGGGTTCATTCATATCCAAATAACAAACGAATCAATGTCGTGTTTTCCATAATGTAGAAAGCATCATTTGTATCAAGATGCCATAAGGTTTCTGTTCATTTATGGGTAAACCGGATACATGATTCCATCCCATATTGTTGTTTTTGTTGTTCACATCTGTTAGATGCTGACAACAATATGCCTGGCACTTTGGCATTCTTGTGAATGTCCTCTAAATAATTTCCAAAAAATAGTTATTGTCTCATTTCCCGAATATCTTACAAATTACAACTATGTAGGCCACGGAGCAATATGGAATACTACAAAAGTTATCATGATGCATACCATGTTAGCCTTCCCTAAATATAGTGTGTGATATATTTTTTTAGTCAAACTTTGACCAAATTTATAGAAAATTTATCAACATCTAGAATACCAAATCAACAACACTAGATTCATCATGAGACATGCTTCCATATGGTAGACATTTGGTATTGTGGATATGGGTAATTTCCTCTATAAACTTGATCAAAATCTATAAATTCGATGAAAGCTAATGCACACTATATTACGGAACAACAGAAGTACAAAGACCATGATTTTTCCATCTTCCCGTCCTCTAGGTATTTGAAAGGCACTTCCTGATTCCTCGGATACTTCAAGATCTAGACTTTTCTTCACATTCAAGCATATTTTCCTATTGAAACCCAAATCATTCATAAAGTTCCAGAATTCCCACAAAATTGCAGAGGTCTCAAAATTGAAATAAAAAAATTGTGTGTTGCATAGCAAATGTGAATCCACTGTTTTACGACCATAAGCATATCGGAGGTGTCCAAAACATCCTCCCGCATTAGATGGTAGAGGATTACGTGTACAAAGACTTCTCGGTTGTCATCAACAAGGTCAGACCGGCTTCCGTATGAGAGTTGTGACAACGGCACGTCGGATGCTCGTCCTAACGACAGTTGGTAGTTTGGTTGTTCAGATGCCTCAATTTAATTTTTATTATGTTCGGGTGCTTTGTACTTATGATGAGTCTTTATAATATATCCTAATCATTTCTGCCAAAATAAAAATTGGTAGAGCAAAAGTCTAAACGCATGGGTATTATTCACTCAAATCAATTATATGATAAAGAAAATTTAACATGATCCAAAACTATCTTAGCCGTCTATGTTATTTGATCCAAGGGTCATATGATCTCTACCTTCAAAGAGGTTAGATACTACATAGGCCATAAAAAATTTTCGGGAAGGCAATAATTCTTTTTGGAAAGGTGCCGATTAACAATGGGGAAATATACTGCTAAGAACTCTTGACTTAGTGAGTATTACTCGCAGAAGCCCACATACACGCACATGCAATAAACAGGCACGCGTGTGCGCACGCGCGCGCGCGCACACACACACACATGCACACGCACACACTACCCCTACAAGCACCTTCGGGATATTGAGCTGGCATCATTTTAACTTGTATATGCATCAACATGTTTGCAAGGCTGACAAACTACTAATTTGACATGTGAATGGAATTGCTACATACAATTTTAGATTATTGCATTTGTTTTCAATCAGATTTCAGTTCCTTCAGACAAATTTTGAGAATGCATTCACAATAGTCTGTTCTGGGTACAACATTAACTTTTGATTTGTTTGTCCCCCACAAAAAACTTTTGTTTTGTTACGTTTATATTTTTTAAGGGACTCAAAATTTGTTCGAGTCATACATGTTGAATTTGTTTTTGTACCGCGCTAAAACCTTATATTTAAATATGGCAGATCCTTGTACTCCCTGGAATTCATACGTTTCATCTCCAAATATGTAGAGTTAGTTAATGCGACCCATTTGATTTCATGAATAAAGTGTATGATTTGTTTAGAAGAGACAATTACTATATGCATTAGTGTATACGTGTCAGCGACAGTGCACCCAGTTCCAAGGTGCCAAGAGAAGAGGTTGAAAGTCAAGGCCGGCCCAAGAGGCAGCCTCGCTTACCAGCTCGGCTGGCTGGGCCGGAATGGGCCATGTAGGTGTGAGTACTTATATGGGTGTGAACGACTGGGAAAAGGGCCTGTAGCGTGTGTATCTCTCCTTCCTCCTCCCCCGATTCCCTGAGATGTAAACGAAACCTCGATCCAGATTCAATGGCTAGTTGAGAGAGAATTCCCAGAATTCCCCTAACAATACGCCCCTTTTTTACGCCACGATACACTAATTGGAGGATCCTATGTAAATCTTTTTGCACAATAATAAGCATCAGCAATCAAAGGACGAGGCTCCTCTGACGTACTGCAGGGCGCAGTTGGGCCACTGACAGGTGGGCCCGAAAGCAAGTTGGTCCACCTGTCAGTGACCCAACTGCGCCCTGCAGTACGTCAGGGGAGCCGAGTCCGCAATCAAAGGCCAGCATTCATTACACTATGTTAGTTACTTATATATGTTGCTTTGCTTAAATGGATAATCTGCAATTAATGTCTTGGACCATTCCCATGGTGATGTCCCTTGTCTTCAGTCGAGGTGTTCCCCGTTGGGTGTTTTACAAGCGTAAGTGATTGTTGTTGCATGTTGGTTTCGTCTGTTGGATTGATCGTGCGGCTGTGGTGTTCCATAATTTGTGAGTAGTTCACATGTGATATATTTGTATTGGTTTTCACCCGATTCTTCGTCACTAACAGGGCAATTCTCTTCTTCTTTATTAATCAATGAGACAAAAAATTTGCCTCTGTTTCGTAAAAAGAAAAAAAAATACCTACCATTGTAGACTTTTGGCCGAGTAAGATATTCACCACTGAAAGTTTGCATCCTCCGGGAGATATGATAAGATATGATATGTGATAAGACAATAAATAAGCAATATATGGAGTCAACAAACCGAGTCTATCGACGTAATCACTTGCGTTTCACTTCCTACATACTCCTACCAGGATACCAGTTCAAAGACGTGATTGTGATTGCTATCCTGCTGCCTATAAATAATTCATATCCTCGATTGGCAGCAACCAGTGTCGTCTCGGCTCGAAAAGCACGGGGAAATGGCTTCTTCTTCGGCACCGCCGGCGCTGGCCGAGAGAGCGCACGCCGTGTGCCTGCCGGCGCCCGCGCAGGGGCACATCATCCCCATGCTCGACGTGGCCAGGGTGCTCCACGCCCGCGGCTTCCACGTCACCTTCGTCAACACCGAGTACAACCACGCCCACCTCGTCCGCTCCCGTGGCCCCGCCGCGGTGGCCGGCGTCCCGGGCTTCTGCTTCGCCACCATCCCGGACGGCCTGCCGCCGTCCGACGACGACGACGTCACGCAGGACATCGCGTCGCTGTGCAAGTCCACCACGGAGACCTGCCTCGGGCCATTCCGCCGCCTCCTCGCGGACCTCAACGCAGGCGGCCCGCCCGTGACCTGCGTCGTCTCCGACGTCGTCATGGATTTCTCCATGGAGGCCGCCAGGGAGCTCGGCCTCCCCTATGTCCAGCTGTGGACGGCCAGCGCCATCAGCTTCCTCGGTTACCGCCACTACCGCCTCCTCTTCGCCCGCGGCCTCGCGCCGATCAAAGACGTCGAACAGCTGACGGACGAGTACCTTGACACGCCGGTGGAGGACGTTCCGGGCCTGAGGAACATGAGGTTCAGGGACTTCTCGAGCTTCATACGCAGCCCGGCCCCGGACGACTACATGCTGCATTTCGCGCTCGGGATGACGGAGCGCGCGGCCGGCGCGTCGGCGGTGATCGTCAACACCTTCGACGACCTCGAGGGAGAGGAGGTGGCGGCCATGGAGGCGCTCGGCCTGCCCAAGGTCTACACCATCGGCCCGCTCTCGCTGTTGGCACCGCTCAAGGGCCCGAGTTCCGCCATCAGCATGAGCCTATGGAAGCCGCGGGAGGAGTGCCTGCCGTGGCTCGACGGCAAGGACCCCGGCTCCGTCATGTACGTCAACTTCGGCAGCATCACCGTCATGACCAACGAGCAGCTGGTGGAGTTCGCGTGGGGTCTGGCCAAGAGCGGCAGGCACTTCCTCTGGGTCATCCGCCCGGACCTCGTCAAGGGCGACGCCGCCGTGCTGCCGCTGGAGTTCTCGGACGAGACGGCGGGGCGCGGGCTGGTGGCCTCCTGACGCGCAGCGGCTGGAACTCGACGCTGGAGAGCATGTGCGGCGGTGTGCCCGTCATCAGCTGGCCGTTCTTCGCGGACCAGCAGACCAACTGTCGGTACCAGTGCACCGTATGGGGCGTCGGCATGGAGATCGACGGCAGCGTCCGGCGCGACGCCATCGCGGGCCTTATCACGGAGGTCATGGAGGGGGAGAAGGGGAAGGCGATGAAGAAGAAGGCGCGGGAGTGGAGGGAGAAGGCGGTCATGGCAACCGATGCCGGCGGCTCGTCTCGCCGCAACTTGGACGAGCTGATCCGCGACGTGCTAGCTCCATCTTTCCACGGCAATCCTGCTAGCTAGTACTGTACCTGCCCTGCTCCATCCATGATGCACGGTCTTTTTTTTGCACCATCGGCGGAGAAATTCGAAAAACAAATGGGAGCGAGTGTGTGTAAGTCGATTTTTTTCTGCCGTTGGATTTGTGATCGAACGGTCCAACAGAACTTCAGTACGACCAAAATCGACTTACACAAGCTCTGTTTTCAATAGATTTTTTTTCTTTCAATCAAAACATAGTTGGGCTGTGAGAGTCTCGACCAAAACTATACCTGCTAGCCGCGAGTAAATTGCAAAAAACCACCACAATTGTGGACTCTAAATCAAAAAATGACCACCATTCATTCTTTTTTGCAAAAACAACCAGGTATTCAGCAATCCTTTTGCAAAAAACACTAACCGATCAATAAGCAGCTTTTAACACAGAATCTGACAGATGGGATCCAGTTGTAAGTGTTGACGTGGCGGTCAAATGTCACACCGTTAGCCTATACTGTTAAGTCGATAGGGGCTTTGACTCGCGCGGCAGCGCCAGGCCGCCAGCCACGGTAGCTGGGTCTGCCCGCACGCGCGCCCACCGGTGCAGCTGGGTCCCCCGAGCCCACCGCCCTCGCCCTGCGCCGCCGTCGGACATGGCGCACCGCCCGCCGCTGCAGCTCCTGCCCGCCATGGACGCTGCTCTGGACGACGCTCGGCTCATCGGAAGCCAACCAGCGCCGGCACTGGACGCGGAGTTCTTATGCTGCTCCACCTCGTGCAAGCTGTGCACGTGCGCCGCCTATATGCTCAAATGGATTAGCAGTAGGCCGGACGCCTCCTTTCCGCCATGGTCGAGCTCCCAAGAGGCCCTCTTCTATCTCCTTGCATTTGATCGAACACCTAGCAGGCAGCGTGGCAAGACGCGGCCGCGCCGCCTGGGTAGTGCGCCACTGGGTCTTCAAGGTCCTTGACAACATCCACGACCACCCCATGCTCCTCAACCTCCCAGATAACGGGCATCGCCGTGCTGGCCGCATACTTCGGCCGAGCTGTCGCCGCCGCCGTGCGCTGTCACCGCCGCGTGGTGGCCACCACCGCGCCGCCTCTGCGTCGGTGCGTCCGAGCCGCCGTGCAGGCCCGAGACCTCGGCTCACGCCCTGGCCATCGTGCTGCTCCGGGCCGCTGCACGCATCTAAGCGCGGGGCTCACCGTTCGCCATGCGCACGCAGCGCCATCCGAACTCGCTGGTGCACGGGTGCTCCCGGAGGTGGTCAGTGACTCAGGTCGTTCAATCCATCCGCCAGTACATAGCTGGCTAGCCTCCGTATGAATCAATCAAGCAGCTTGTTGTACACCTGTACGTGCGTATGTATTCGCGCGCGAACGACGACGGGTTCCGGCGTTGATGTGGCTCACCTCGACGGCTTCGCTCCACGGCTCGGTGCTCGTCGTCTCCAAGCTCTGGATCTTGCCCAGCTCGGTGCGGCACCCGAGGAACCTCCTGGAGACGCGAGGAAGCAAAGAACGTGGTCCGGGGCTAACCGGAGCTGGAGATCGTGCGGCATAAGATCCACCGGCTTTGACCTCCGACCGAGCCATGGCCGTAGCTATGTGGCTTGCGGACGCGCACAGAAAGAGGAGAGGAAGAGGAAAAGAGGGTGGCGAGCGGCGGGCGCAAGGAGCAGCGGCGGCGGTGCGAGCTGCCCAGACGTGGCGGCGGGGCCGGGCGGCGCGCACGAGGGCGGCGCTGCCGTATCGACCCCATCGGCGGCGGCAACGCTAACTGTGGTGGGGTGGGTCCCAAGTCAACCTAACGGGTGATCCAAACGGTATGACGAGCGCCGTCTTCATCAGTGCCACGTGGCACCTGACAGTGAGACCTACTCATTAGGTTTTCAATCAAATTGCTTTAATTGACCTATCAGCGTTTTTTGCAAACTGTCAGCACAATAGTGGTGGGTTTTTGCAAAAAAAAAACGAATGATGGTGGTTTTTTGATTTAGGGTCCGCAATTGTGGTGGTTTTTTGCAATTTACTCGCTACCCGCTTATAACACACAAAGACAAAAAGTCAAAAACACGAAGGAAACACACCTGGTCGAATCACTTGCACGCGATCCAACACACCCTCCCCTAACCCTCTGTCGCCGCTGCAACAGAAGAGATCCCAGGCGGCCGAGGTCGATGATCTTGAATAAAACACAGATCAGAAGAACTCACCCATGTATGTGAAATCTGAAGCTTGAACAAATTACATGTAGAAGAACTAGACGAAAAAAGTATAACAAATTACATGCACAAGTAGAAGAACTTGAATAACAACTTGCATCCTTCAAAATTGAATCAAACTTATAGCAGAAGTTGCACTCATCATGGCAGAACTTGCATTCTTCATAGCAGAACTTGCATCCCTGCGAAATGTGCAATTCCAGTCAAAATAGATAGTAGAACTTGTGTTCTCGATCAAAGTATATATGCACATAGTAGAAACTGAGTAAAAAGGATAAGATGAAATAAGGAGATAAACTGCAGGAAGAAAGAAGGAGAATCTGTTGAAGAAAAGAAAATAGGTCAAGTAAAATTAATGAAGAAACAATCCAAATCAAATTACAGATGACAAAATCAGATTACATAAGTTTTTTCTATAATAGAAAGAATTTAAGCCTACCCCGCAAAAAAAAGAATTTGAGACTACCTATTATCCTAAAGAAGACAAAATCAAAATACAAAGGTTCTATAGTAGAAAGAATTTGAGGCTCATAATACGTATTACCCTAAAGAAGACAAAAACAAAATACAAAAGTTTTTCTATAGAATTTTAGGCTGCCTATTAACCTAAATAATAACAAACAAAATGTTTGATGAAACTATTCACCCATTTGATTCATGTGAATCGAGCATATTCTCTATTACCCTAAAGAAGAACAAACAAAATACAAAAGGTTGATGAAACTATCTCCATTTGATTCGCGTGAATCGATCATATTCTAAGGGAAATCTCGTGATTTCAATAATCTACTTAGGCGCCTTTTTTAGAATTTCTCTGCGCATTTTCTTTGAAATGTCGCGGCGGGGCGGGGGGTCCCACCTGAGTTCTGAATTTTCGTTTAGAGCATAAGAGGGGCTTTTTGCAGAGCTAGCGTTTATCGCGAGGAGAGGAAGTCACCACAGAATTAAATCAGAGCTTACATTTGCGAGCACATCAGCTGGTGTCTAAAGAACAATGCATTTCTGGCATCCCAGATCTTCCAGAGGAACAGCAATTAGTGTCATGAAGGGTTGCAATGTTCTAGGGAGGCGTTGCTGGACATTGATCTTCAAAATGAGCTTGATGTCAGTGCAGTTTGGCCTGGTGATCTAAATGGAGGAACAGATGTGCGCATGTTCAGTGGATTCAAGACACATAGGACACTTCTCTGAAGCGAGGATGGTTTTCCTGAAAATGAGGAGGTGCTCCTCGCGCAGCTGCTTCAAGAAGATGAGCAGAAATCGCTTCACAAAGATTGAAGTTATTAGCTTCAGTAACGAACATCAGTTTTGGGTTTTGAAGAAGGCAGGAGAAACAACTTTTCAATCCGATGATTTGGTGGGGTGCGCCAGCCCAGGCAGCAGTGCAACGCCTGGGCGACACGCAAGGGCCCCAGCAGCAAGCCACTGTGATGGGCCCTTCCCCATAAAAAATAAATTTAATATCGTTGTGGGCACATGGTCCACATATCAGATATTAAACTGATAAGAATAGATACTACACTTGATCTTAGCCAAAAGGCCGAGAAAGGTATGCTTCTTCTTGGTGGCAAGGGTCTCCTTATATAGCATGTCTTCGCCTCCCTTCCGCTGTGGCTGCGCAAGGTGGAACTAAACGAAATGATAGCTTTTTTTTTTTTTTTTGAGTGCTACGAAATGATAGCTCTGCGGTAGCACCGCGCGACTCTGCTCCGTTCGTTGCTCTGGGAGGCCCCGTTTCGGTCTGTTTGGGCCGTGGTTGAATAAAAGCCCAGGAGAGATGGGCTAGTGAGCTCAGCAAGCAAATGTCCTTCGTCCAGACTTTTTTCTTGCAATTCTCAACAAATATATTTTATTTTATTATTCTAAAAAAGAGAAACGGAAAAATCTAGACACCCATACTATTTATTTTTGAGAAATTTCTTTCAGCCGCCACCACTGGCATCCCCTTTACACTATTTTCTTTTGTTTACATGCTAAAATATGTAGCACCGGTACTACTTCACAGTTAAAACCAGCGACTTTCAAACAATACGAGGCGAGGATGCATACTAGAATGCTCTAGATGTTACCAAATACTTCCTCCGTTCTTAAATATTTGTCTTTTTAAACATTCCAAATGGACTATCACATATGGATGTATGTAGACATATATTAGTGTAGATTCACTTATTTCGGTGTTCTCCCTCCTCTAACGTGTCATTAGCTCACCACATAATTTCTACTACTTATGAAGGATTGTCATATAAGCAAATGCTTATGAAGAGTTCACGTGGTTATGTTCACTAGAAAATAATTAGTTGGTGGTATTATTATTGCACATCAAGAGATAATTGCACTTGACAAAGTTGCCTGCCTTGTGGAAAACACAAGACTGCTACAAATGGTTCGGAGCCAAAACCATGGTGAAAAGATGCTCATGTTCGACGGGAGAAGCTATGCTCCTGTCAATTCCGCAACCACGACAATGGTGACTCTACTGTCTTCATTTCACTTGACGCTCGAAGCTGACCCCGGATTTAGGAAAACCTAACAAGTCAGTAGTTAGCCGTCTGCTCCTGCTTCAGTGCCCTCCAGCCGATATCTCGCCTGAAGAATCCTTCCGGCCAGTCGACGACATCCACCGCATCGTACGCTCTCGACCTCGCTTCTTCGATGTCCTTGCCCTTCGCAGTGACGCCAAGAACTCGGCCTCCGACAGCTACAAGGTTGCCGTCTCCATCCAAAGCTGTTCCAGCATGGAATATCTTGACAGCCGGAGAAACCTGCTCGGCCTTGTCCATGTTTTTTATTACGGTGCCTTTCTTATAAGAGCCAGGGTATCCTTCGCTCGCCATCACAACCACCATCGCGATTTCAGGCGACCAGGTTAGCGAAACCTTGCCCAGTTCGCCTCTGCATGCGGATAGCAGGACTTGTGCAAGATCAGACTCCAATCTCATCATCAAAACCTGACACAAAGGAAAGGAATTAATAAATTATTGCAGTACAGCCAGAATTTGCTGGAAAAACAAAATGTAAACAGGTAAACTAGGAGAATTAAGAAACATACTAAAAATGCGGTAAGACATTATGTTGTGTACTTCAGAAGCACGATAGCTCATGTGATAATTTTCAAAAAATCGCATCAGCTATCAAATATTTATAAATGCCTACCAAACTTAACAACGGCATATTGGACTGAACTGTGAGTTTAAAGTTGCATCATTAATTTAAAAATCATATGCCTAAGCAGACAGCTAAAAATTGAAGATCCCACAAATGTCAGCAAAATTGACTGAACTTCTGGAATTACATGAAACAATAGAACAGCAAGAGGTGGCACAGATAATTGAAGAAATAAATAGCAAGCAAGTTCCAAAAGAAGAAAGCTTGAGCAGTGAACAAAAGCAGGCTGCACTGCTTCTGTGTCGCAAGTAAATGAACATGAGAATAAGACACAAAGTTCAGATGGCATTTCTAAGGCACTCACTCTGTTACAAATATACATTATTTTGGACATGAGCACATTCTACAAGATGTACCTCTGAATGCCGATTTCTCATGTCATAGACTAGAATATGTTACTAAAAAATCACTTAACCAACAAGCTCTAAAGCATGAGAACTTTATTAAGGCATCACTAAAGAAAGTATGAAGAGAACTTCATTAGGGCAAGTATGAGGACAAACCCCGTTAGGAAGGAGTTCAACAACATTGCATTCTATTGTGATATTGTCCAGCCTCATCAAGAATATTTTGATCATACTGTGACTAAAAAAAATGTAATGCTTGAATTGGGAAATATAAATATCTAAAGAGAAACTGACAGATAATCACTAACCTGGCATTCTGGGTCCCCAAATCGCACATTATATTCAATAAGCTTAGGCAGCCCAGATTTCTTCTCTATCATAAGCCCGGCATATAACACACCAACAAACTTGCATCCTTCAGCAGCCATACCTTTAACAGTTGGAATAATTATAGTTTCCATGATCACGCTCTTAAGCTCTTCGGTCACTATTGGCGCAGGGGAGTATGCACCCATGCCACCCGTGTTTGGACCAGTATCACCATCTCCAACTCTTTTGTGATCCTGTGCTGATTCAAGTGGCAAAGCATTTTCTCCATCTACTAATGCAAAGAAAGAGGCTTCTTCGCCCTCCAGATACTCCTCAATGACGACCCGTGAACCAGCAGAACCAAATGACTCGTCAACCATCATAGAGTTAATTGCTTCGAAGGCCTCATCCAAAGTCATAGCAACAACGACGCCCTTTCCAGCTGCCAATCCATCAGCTTTGACAACAATAGGGGCCCCTTGATTCTTGATGTACTCTTTAGCTTTTGCAGGATCCGTGAATGTGCGATACTACATCATAGAGAGAAGAGTACTGGTATTAGCTTCAATTGTATGCCTTAACATCTGAATCTACAGTAAGTATCAACAAAGAGGAGTATCAATTTCACTGTTTTCTGCTAAAGTGATTTCACAGTCCTTTTCTGCAGTAATAAGATGACTTCATTTCAAAAAGCAATCTGCCTTTAGAGGGATATCAAATTATCAACAATGACTTATGAACTATGGTTGGAAATAATGCAGTCACACAATGTTTGTCCAGCAGAAAGTAACAGTTCATTGCATAGCTTCTGTATACTTAGTAGCAGCAAATCGGCACAAAATAAACACGGTTAACAGCATTGCCTCAGGACGAACGAAATATTAATGCCTAAAACAATGTAACATTTCTCTTATGCAGGCATCTCGTGAAAACAAACCCCTGTGGACCCTGGAAAATGTAGTACTTAACACAAATGTAAACTGAATTACCTGAGCAGTCGGGATATTACACTTATCACACAGTCTCTTCATAAAGTCCTTTGACCCCTCTAATGCTGCAGCCTCTGATGAAGGACCAAACGTCGGTATCCCAGCTTTGACAAGGTCATTCGCAAGACCCGCAACGAGAGGACCTTCAGGACCCACTACCACCATTCCCACTCCCCTCTTGCGGCAGAACGATACAACAGCATCACTACTGGAAATGTCTAGGTCCGATATACAGATCGCATCCCTGGACTGAGCAATGCCAGCATTGCCAGGGGCGCATAAAACTGTCCCGCAAGAAGGCGAACGGGTCAAAGCATAACAGAGCGCATGCTCCCTTCCTCCACCACCAATGACGAGTACAGTTATCCTCCCTTCTGAAGAACAGAACAAGACAAAAAATTAGAACACTGGTGCTGCAATTTACATCAAACTGGCTGCTGGTGTTAACTAGAAGAAAGGTTTTGGGCAATGCATTTCGTCTCACGGCACATTAGAAATTGAGGTTTCATAACATAGAAAAGCATCATTCTTGTAACACCATGGAGTTGTTGAAGAAATCACACCTAACTGACCAAAAATGTAATTTACCTACCAGCAACAACGGTCCCGTCCTCCGGCGAAGCTTTCGGGATTGAGCGCCATCTTTCTGAATTCCGGACAGACAGATGAGAATGGCAGGCGACGTGTTGCACTGCATTATTGGAGACATTGCTACTCCATGCCCGAGAAACGGGCCAAGACACCGAAGGCTTCCAGCCGCCGCACAGATGATTACTATCCAGGCCAGGCCCCGTGGCAAGCTTGAGATGCCCCCTGATGCTGTAAGCCGCACAAGCCATCGGGGCCGGCCCTGAGATAGAGCAAAAAGGGCGCCCGCCCAAGGCCTTGTTCTGAGCTTAGGGAGCTAGTTGGCGGCGAGCTGGACAGCGGCGAGGTCGAGCTGGGGGCGGCGAGACGGGATGGACGGGGGCGGCGGCGTCGATTATCTGGCGAAAGATGGCCGCCGGCGGAGCACGTGGTCGGGGGCGGGGACGGGGGGGAGAAACGGCGGCTGAAAGGAGGAGGCGGCTAGGGTTGTCGTCGCGGGTTTGTTCGGTCAGGCCTGGGAGCCGGATCCAGTGACTTGCCTCTGCCAAGTCACGCTGCATCTTACCCATCTACCATCCATTCAACATCCAACGGACAACGCTAGTCAAGGAATATGTCACCTGCCGGACAGCTAACGGGGCATGAGCACAAATAGCTTTTTTTTCTTT